TGGCGGCCCCCGATGGGGCTACTGAGTCACCGGTACAAGTTGCCACACTTTCTAACTGTTCAGCTGTCGGATGTGTGACGTCACACCAATAGTTTAAGACTCCAAGCTGTTCAGGCCAAGAGTGGACGTGTTTGACGTGAACGGCTGACTCAAAAAAGTCGCAGAGTTGCATTTGCCTATGTCATCATGATGTCCTTTCTCTCCGAAGGCGTCAGGCTCAAGAGGATCACAAGCCATGATGTCTGTGAGCCTGAGCCTTGGGCAGAAGCACAGAAGAGCCCTGTTTTCCTTCGTCCTTCGAGCCACGCTAGAGGTTGTGGGAGGCGGGAGCTCGAGAGTTGGGTCGGTGCTCCCTTGCCCTTCGACGACGAGGCATCTTGACATAAATCTGCTCAGACGTGCCGAAGGGGTTCGCGACGGCTTGAGAAGGGCTCGCTGTGCGGCTTTGCCTGCCTGCAGGTCTTGGCATACTTGTTGCAGGTGTCTGCAATGGTCGAGTCGGAGGATCCTGGGAACGGGCACGAAGAAAGAAAGCTTTTCAAAGCCGCCTATGCCAGGAGCTTGCACTGCTCGTGGCAGACTTCTGCCCAAGCTGGCCCGAGGGTTGGCCTTCGACTCGGACGTCCTCCCAGCAGAAGCGGCACGAGAATTGCTTCGGTTGCCCTTGCTGAGGCGGCTTGCTCTGGCCACCTTGCTCTCGAACCCGAAAGGGTCGCAAGCAGGCCGTGGCCACGAAGCTTGGGGCAAGGGACCGGTCAGGGGTGATATTCAACATGTTCTGCGGCTGTGCAAAGAAATCAGTCCTGCCGTACTGCACTGCAGGACATCAGAGCTTGTCTCCAAGCCGCCGACAGCAGAGCAAAGCCACCAGCAGCTCCCCTCTCTCGAAATGGGTGTGGTACCTGGAACAAAGGCGCGATTGCAGTTGTTTTCTCTGTTGGCTGGTGACACTGCGTGGAGCAAGTTGAATCCAGTAGAATCCGCGAAGCCGCGAAGCCAAAGCAGCTCACCCACCCCGCGCTCCAGGCACAGCCCACCTTCGAAGGCAGAGCCAACAACGCTGCGAGTGCCACGAAGGGAGCTGGGAGGGGCCAAGGACCGAGGATCGTTCGGTTGAGCGGGTGGAAGGTAGGCCGAAGCACCTGCCGGTGCTTAAGGGATCCTTGCAAGTTCAGTGACTTATATATGGCTTCATCTGAACATGCACTGACGTCCTATTCGACATGCCAGGCTGTCGTGCCACAGCCAAGCATAACAGACATCATTCCAGCAGCTATAGACAGACATGCCCTTCGCCGAATGTTGTTGAGTGTTGAGTTTGGTGGTGTGCGAGGACACGGGGATTTGCGTTTCGGAGCTGACAAATCTGCACAGAAGAGGGACTTGCCCTCTTGCGGCAGTAGGCTTTGTGCGGGCCTCCTTGCCCGACGCGCAAACTGCTGCACACTACGAGGCCGCGAACCTCAGGTCTTCGCACGAAGGAGAAGAGGCCAAACCGTGCAAACGCTGTGGACACTTTTTGTATTCAACGGCCTTTTAAATTGCACTCGCTGCTCCAAGGCCTGAATTCCCGAAAACAAAGCTGAATTCCCCACGCAGTCCTGAGCTTCTCAGTGCCCCAACGTGGCCTCACCTACTGGGCCGCTGCAGGACATGGCTGTCCTGCCAAGCCGTGTGCGTGAGGGACCAAAGCTTCCTCAGGCTGCACCGAGCCCGCCCAAGCGGGAGAGGGAGAGGGAGAAGGAGGAACCCGAGCAGTCCATCAAGGCTGTCGTTGAGCAGCAGCTGGATTTGCAGCACCAGCTTCAGCAGCGCAGCTCCCCGAAGCAGTCGCCAAAGCAGTCACCTAAGCAGTCCAAGCTGCTTTCTGCGCCTTCTCCGGATGTCGAGGCGGGCTGTTGTTCGCCGCGTCTGTCGCCTGTGCGCTTCTCTGCAGGCTGAGAGAAGGCAGAAGTCCACGGCAGCGGGGCGATCGAGGGACCACATGTTCGAGTTCTGTCTTGCCTTGGTCAGATGTTCCTGACCTGTGGCCAGCGGCCAGATGCTTGACACAGGAGCAGACGATCCAGGAAATTATCCAGCAGCAGCTTCTGTTGCAGGACTCAGTGCTGGCCAAAATCTTTCTTGGACTGCCCAAACGCGGGGCCACAGTGCCCGGCCCAGGAGCAGCTGCGGCCGCAGCTCGAGCAACCTGCCGGAGGTGCTTTCGGGACCGGAGGAAATCCTGACCTACCCTTGGTGCCCTCTTGGAGGTCCGGTGAGCAGTTTGCAGTTGGAGCATCAGTGCGGGCCTGAGCCCTTGTGCCGGGTCTGGGAAGCTTTAGGGCGAGACAGGAATCACAAGGCACTCTATGTCCAAAGCTTCGCGTAATAAAAAGCATTCTTCCGGCCCGTGGCCTGTGCAAGTCAAAGCCTTGACGACCGACCAGACTATCGTTTGCAGCCCCGACTCTTTCTAGCACTAGACCCCCAGCTCGAGTTTCTGGGAGCTTACACCTTTGAAGCATGTCCTCGCAGATTTAGCAATCCCAGTTCCTCGGGCAAACCGCAGCAGATACCAACATGGACTTGCCCCCTGTTCTGCTCAATATCGGAGTTCCTGGACCGATCATACCGGAATAAGAACCCTGCAAACACCAACAACTGCCAAGAGACCCAGGGCCTCAGTTGCTAAGGCCGAGCTGGATGCAGACGCCCTCTGGGAGCGAGCGGGAGGCCGGCGTTATACATATATATATATATATGTATATACATGCATATCTAAAACCTATCTATCTATCTATCTATCTATCTATCTATCTATCAGGGCATTTGGATCGAGTGCGGCCTTGCTGCACATTGCCGATAGCCCCTGTGTGCACTGTAGCACAGCCCGAGCCATTGGGAAAACACCGCCATCGCCGACGTGGCACCGCAGAGAACGGGCCAGGAGGGCACTGCACCGAAAAAGAGTGCACGCTGCGCGGCGGTCTGGAAAGGCCCCACCCTGGAGGTCTCTACTGTTGCTCGAGCAGCACCACAGCAAGCCCCGTTACCGAGAGCTGCGTTCACGCCCGTTACCCAGTGAGTTGCGACCTGCACCTATGGGTGGAGGCCGTCGACGACAGTCATGGCAAGATGGCAACCAGGGGCAATGGGAAACAGGGCCAGGACAACAGGGTTCGCGTGGACGTTCCTGGCATGTCTGGCAGGGAGCTTGGCCCTCTCCCAAGAAGGCCTCACAGCCGGCCCATCGCTACGACCAGATGGAGCTGAACGAAGAGCA